CACAGAAGAAGGCAATGGCAAACCGCTTCTGGATCATCTGCCAAGAACGTATATGAACAGGTCCCAGTCCGAGAAAAGGATGGAAGGATCCTGTTCATATGGACCTGTCGTCAGACAGAACACTAAATAAATAGCACATAAAGCATCACCATGCTTCAGACCATTCTGAATATCAAATGTTCACCTCTAGTGACTACTGTAAGTTTACATTTCAGTTAGCCTACTACCTAGTAAATGTGGGTACACCGGGTTTGACGGCAGTAATGTCAGTTTTATGCAGTACTACTGACATAATTGAATGTTCTTGAAATTTGTAAAATAACTGAAGTAATGTCACATTATCGAAGTGTCCGGTGCTGCCATTTAAATTAAAATTAGCTACTTCAGAACCAGATCTCATAATTTTCTTGTGTGACACAAAAAAGGGCAGAGTTTTATATTGAACTTAAGAAAATAAAATGCATACATGTGGGTGATAAAGAAAAAAGTGAGGAGTAACTATAATTGCAAGAAATTAGAATTTATGATGATTATAGAAAAATCACCTGCTTGCAATCAAGACCAAGATTAACCCCTCTATAAAGGGCACTACCATAAGGGGCATGTATTATATTTTCAGTAAAAAGAGCGGAGGTGGCTCAGGACAAGTCGAGTCGGAAGCAGAGGAAGGAGAGGTCGCTGATGATGGTGAGCTCCACCCTCTGGCCACAGTAACAAATATAAACCCCGATGAAATTCCAGACGTACCCCCTAACCGCTTCTTGTATAGAGGTGAACGTAAAACATCTGTAACCAGTCGTTCTAAAATGGAACGTGATCCTAGGGAACATGAACGACAACGCCGGAGTCGAATAAGGGGAATCACCAAGAGCGGCCGTGTTATTAAAGGCCGTGGAGTGTTTGTAAGTATGATTCAGTGTTGAATTATAGTAATGGATTGATTTCTGTTTTGCAGCATGTTATACAATATTACTTTTTTATCTCAGTTTCTTGTGTGTGGATGTGAATTTTGATATTGGTGAGACAATCCAGATGTCTTACTTAGTTTGTGTTTATGATAACACTGAAAGGTGGATGTATTGTGAATTGGCGTCTTTTCGGGTGTGAAATGTTTAATTTATTTTCAGCTATCTCAATATCGGTTTTCCACTGAAGGTTTTTAATACGGAATAAAGTTTGTGGGAACACTAGTTCTTAAAATTGTTTGTCCTGTTATGTTGCGGTTTTGACGTATGTGAATGTATTACGTGCCAGGAACAGTCTTAGTAGTCAGAATTTGGTGCTGCAGTGCAGCACTTAGCGGAGACTTTCAGTAAAATCCTCTTGGGTCATCAGCTGCATCGAGTGGTCATAAGAGACCAACATTTCAGCAACTGTCTTTGTCTCTGCAATGAGGGGTCTGATGTAATTGGATACTTCAAATGGCCTCCCCTCCCCCCACCCTTTATATACAGATTGTACTGGGTGGTTTATGTGACAGTTGTAACACGATTCCTTGGTTCAGTTGTAGTCAAAATAATCAAACATATGCCAGTCTGAAGTTGAACAGTTGCACAGATAAGGATGAGAAGTTTTAAAGAAAATGCATTGCTCCATCTCAAAGTTGAGTATTGCCAAATGTCAGTGTACAAGAAAATATTCTTGATCTGATGACTATCTTTTGGGATGTTGCACCATATAATCTTTGACAAATTTACCAACATTTCAGAGGTGCTTGGTGTCTCTGCTTAATGTACAAAATAAAGGTTACTTTGTCGTATTTTTGCAGTGGCTAAGCTACCCAGTCGCTTCTTGCAAGCTGAGAAGTGCATAAAATTTCAGGGAAGGCACTTTGAACAGTCACTGTGATTCTGTTATATGGAAATGGTTTGGTTGTTACTAAACATATAAAACATCACTTTCTTTAAGACTTCACTTGCCTACTCTGGCCTGATATATGTTTGATTATTTTGACTCGAATTGGCCCAAGGAATACAGATAGTCCTCGATTTGCGCCGGTTAAATTTGCGCTGATTTAGAATAACACCGATTTTGAAACCAGCAAGTCCGAAAGTGAAAAAAATATATGTTACTATTATTTATAACGTTTTACAATGTATCTCGTACTGATTATTATAATAAATCGTAATTCTCACATCGCTGATTTTGAATAAAAATTATAAATACAGTCATCTCTGCAATTACGTATGTTTCATTAACGCGAATTTGCTCCAATGAGATTGGTGAATCTGTAAAAGCTGTTTGTGAAATGCAATCTTTTGCATATGTGAGTTTGCTGTTATGCAGTTCAAAGGACTAATTTAATCTCTGCGGAGGTACCGGGGTTATTTTTATTATGCGGTGGGTCGGCATCTTAAATGAATGCAACTATCGCATAACAGCAGAGATGACTACACATCAATCACATGAAAGAATCGCAGTCAATCGCGAGGGCCAACGAATTGCCGATAGTTTATAAAATATATTTTTTAAATTCCCTTTATTTTATTTACGTTATTTCAGAGCACAAAATGTAATGCCATTATGTTACTTGTCAATGTTTGGGCGCCGGGAATGCATGTCATTGACTTGCCATTGATTTGCATTATAAAAGAGTTTCAATTTATCCTCTCAGTACATGCTATGTACTTGCCCAGAACCAGTATTCATGGCTGGGCCCTATCCAATAAGAAATAGTGGGCTACTGGGCAGTGTCAACCTTGGCCTTGTTCTTACATTGCTGTTTCATTGGACTGCAAAAGCATGTTTTTCACAGGATACCATGCGTGTTTTAAAGTGAAACCCCTCATCTCTTCTCATTGCTTCTGTGTAGAGGGGGTCGAATTGGGTCATAGTAAACCCCCTGGTAATGGAATCTAGCCCAAACATTGGTCTGTTTTTATCACTTGACGTGATTATTGGCCTGGGAGGATTCTATTAATTTCAGTTGCTATGAAATCTTAAAATATTATAAGCCAGTAGATTTGATCGGATTTGATGTTCTTATATGTTTGTCACTTCTCTTCTGTGAGCTTTTGTAAATATGGTATTCCAAAATTCATTGCATCTCTCACAGTTGAAACCATTCCATTGTCCGTAAGACTTGAGGTTCTCACAGCGGTGAATATGAAGATTTCTGTCTTCTGGGTTGTTGCGCCGTGTAGTCTGGTCGATGTTAACCAACGTTTCTGAGGTCCAACTGCCTCCGTCATCACAGCGATGAGTATGAAGATTTCTGTCTTCTGGGTTGTTGCGCCGTGTAGTCTGGTCGATGTTAACCAACGTTTCTGAGGTCATACTGCCTCCGTCATCACAGCGATGAGTATGAAGATTTCTGTCTTCTGGGTTGTTGCGCTGTGTAGTCTGGTCGATGTTAACCAACGTTTCAGAGGTCATACTGCCTCCGTCATCACAGCGATGAGTATGAAGATTTCTGTCTTCTGGGTTGTTGCGCTGTGTAGTCTGGTCGATGTTAACCAACGTTTCAGAGGTCATACTGCCTCCGTCATCAGGGATATCAATATTCAGACTACACAGCGCAACAACCCAGAAGACGGAAATCTTCATTCCATTGTCTGTTTAAAGCATCCTGTGATTTGGAACATTGTGCTAGAGGACTCATTTACATTTTTGTCCCAGTCTTGTGAAGAAATATCTTTCCTATTTGTTTGACACCATTAGCTCAGACAATGTACATCACCTGTTCGCCATAAACTACTCGTAAGCAATGTGTCATGAAGTATGGCATTCAGACTTTGACCAGAAATTTAATTTCTGTGAATATATGCTCCTTTTACTGATAAAAGATACTGACCGGCTAGATCCATGCTTCAGAACAAACTAAATATTCGAGGCCAGCCATCTGTTATGTGGTATAATTTCATAAACATGTGAATTTTTTATTCTAAAAATATTTTGAAATAATAAAATGTCGCAAAGATTTATAAAAAGTTTCTTCAACAAAAAGTTTTCCTTGCTTTAATCTTTGTTCTTTTAATTTGTTGAGTAAAACTATGTTTATAAATGTGTTGTTAGTTTTCGACTTGTTTTAAAATTTGAGCTTTGTTAACAGCGCTACCGCACACCTTCACGCAGCCGCTCCCGCAGTGCCACCCCTCCACACTGGAAGCAAGCACAGAACCGAACCATCAAACTCAGTGAATATGAAGTAAGTTCTTAATTCTGTTATAACTTCCCATTACCAACACTTCATAGCTTGGCAAACGTACTTGAGAATTTGACGTTTCACTAGTACCATTATCTCCAATAACAACAAATGCATCATCATCAGTGTGAGAACCTCATATTTCAGACATGGGTATTGTAACATCCAAAGAGGATAATGGACTGAGTAAAGTTCCGTAAAATTGAAGTCAACTTTAGAGAACACAATGCAGAATATATAATGTAATGAAAGATAAAATCTCGCTAATATGGACTGCCTTATTTTTTAAGTATGTATTTTATTGATCTGGAATCGAGATTTTTCTTAAAGTGGAATTAATTGTACAATTTGACATTTTTGCTTCCTTAGATAAGTATTGAAATATGCGTAGTTTGTAATCTGTACTGAAAACAATACAATTCTGATGAGCAACCCAAAAATATTTTTACACTTGTAAGAGAAATTAAGAATGATGGTATGAAGTGGCATGGAAACAATGCCTTTGTTAAACAGAAAAGTTCCAAATCTAAAACTTCTTGACGATGGTGAAGAGTCGTTTGAATAAAAATTTCCTTGGATATTATCCATCGTCTAGTAAATATAAAACGTAAAACGACGCTTCGGAGATGGGACTCTATCTCCGTCTTCAGGTTCCTACACAGTTGGGCCCACTAGATAGAGCTAATCCCTATCTCCGAAAAGTTCCAGTTTCTTTAAAGAAAACAGTTTGATTTGAGAGGGACAGTCCTCATCTGATTAAAATTATAGATATTATTGTTTAACACATTAATTAAAATTTATTGTTTAAAAGAATCATTTTCTTATTCTGTTTGATTTGAGTTTTTCTTTAATTTTGTTTTGGCTACAGCATAAACATTTTTAAAAATGTTTTCTTTACTTCATATTCGTGTCCTTGAACCATGCAGATTAGCATATGATGCTCGTTTGTTAACACATTTGCTTGTCTCTATGAAATATGACTTGAAAATGTTCACAAAAAATTATGGTATGTAATTCAAGCTACCCTGTCTTATTAGTCTTAATTAGGTTTTAATGTGTCACACTGCACTAATTGTGTAATGAAGCTCATAGTACATTCGGTAACGTGTGTGCCGTGAATGTTCATGAGGAAATGTCCGACAAATTATTCATCCATGTTTTGGAAACTAGTTTAACTAGTGAACAGGTAGAATTTGCGGTTCTCACAGCGGTGAGTACAAAGATCTCGGTCTTCTGGGTTGTTGCGCTGTGTAGTCTGGTCGATGTTCACCAACGTTTCGGAGGTCCTGCTGCCTCCGTCATCAGAGTATGAAGATTTCTGTCCTCTGGGTTGTTGCGCTGTGTAGTCTGGTCGATGTTCACCAACGTTTCGGAGGTCCTGCTGCCTCCGTCATCAGAGTATGAAGATTTCTGTCCTCTGGGTTGTTGCGCTGTGTAGTCTGGTCGATGTTCACCAACGTTTCGGAGGTCCTGCTGCCTCCGTCATCAGAGTATGAAGATTTCTGTCCTCTGGGTTGTTGCGCTGTGTAGTCTGGTCGATGTTCACCAACGTTTCGGAGGTCCTGCTGCCTCCGTCATCAGAGTATGAAGATTTCTGTCCTCTGGGTTGTTGCGCTGTGTAGTCTGGTCGATGTTCACCAACGTTTCGGAGGTCCTGCTGCCTCCGTCATCAGAGTATGAAGATTTCTGTCCTCTGGGTTGTTGCGCTGTGTAGTCTGGTCGATGTTCACCAACGTTTCGGAGGTCCTGCTGCCTCCGTCATCAGAGTATGAAGATTTCTGTCCTCTGGGTTGTTGCGCTGTGTAGTCTGGTCGATGTTCACCAACGTTTCGGAGGTCCTGCTGCCTCCGTCATCAGAGTATGAAGATTTCTGTCCTCTGGGTTGTTGCGCTGTGTAGTCTGGTCGATGTTCACCAACGTTTCGGAGGTCCTGCTGCCTCCGTCATCAGAGTATGAAGATTTCTGTCCTCTGGGTTGTTGCGCTGTGTAGTCTGGTCGATGTTCACCAACGTTTCGGAGGTCCTGCTGCCTCCGTCATCAGAGTATGAAGATTTCTGTCCTCTGGGTTGTTGCGCTGTGTAGTCTGGTCGATGTTAACCAACGTTTCAGAGATCATACTGCCTCCGTCATACAGTAATCTTACTGATTTAATGTAAAGGTTTTGCAGCAAGCATCACGATCTGTATCATAGAAGTAGTTTTTATAGCTATTTGTTATAATTTCAGAAACTGGAACGTGAACGTAAGAAGAGAGAAGAGGAGATAAAGCGGCGAGAGGAGGAAAGAAAGAAAAGACACATGGAAAAGGATCAACAGAGATTAGATATAGAAGCAAAGAAGGTACATAGAGAACATGGCAAGGAGAGAGAAAAGAGGTAAGAATGTAATTATTCGCGATTTTCATTTGATGGCATTTAGTTTGGATGTTTTTATGGTTGTGATGTTTCAGAATCTGCTTGTTTATGTGCCAATTTTTTGTTCTTGTAAATACAATATATTATTCTAGATGTGCAAGTTAATAGTTACAGCATAATTGCCATCTACAGTGCAGTTATGAAAGCATTCTTCAGAAGGTAAGTAAGTTGTAACGAAAGCTTAGTTTTTGCTTATAAAGTAGTCACGCATGTTGAGAAGCAGCTTGTCGATACTGAGCGTGTGAATCCACAACGTGGAATGGGAAACCAAGGTGCATGACATGGTTACTAGACTCACAAATATCCACATTTTATGTGAGAGAGAGTGTCAGATACGTAGGTTGGTCCGTCAATATATGGTTACGTCTGCTGGGAGATGTATTATGGGTTGAAATCTCCTGCCGAATGCCGCGCATCCCCAACATACTGCACATTCATCGATGAAGCACTGCTGGAGGACCTTCCTCTGGTACAACACTGCAAATATCATGGTCTATGGATCAATTGACTTTTCTGTCTTATTTTTAGTCAAGGAAACAACCTCTGAAATCATCGCTGCAAGTTTCTCAGCACCCTGTATGTCATAACAACACTATAATTTTATAATCTGTTTGCGCATCATAATATAAATATCTCTTTGTGGTTTTCATATTTTTAAACTGCTGATTTTTATTATTTATTATTTATGAAACGTCACTACCCTGTACAATGGACATATCATTTTGACTAAAGAGTATCTGGCATTTGACTGCTTTGTGCGATGCCCTTCTTGGTTAGTTCTACCTGTGCTATTAAATCCGCCTTTTGAAAATGAATTTGGTAAATCAGTTTAATCTTTTAAACAATGTAGACTATTTCATTTTCTCTGTAAAATGTGCCAGACTAGCGGAGTCATGGTCGGATATGCTTTGCAGACCAGAAGATGGTGACGTAGAGACTCCAGAACAACTTGAGAAGGTCCCTGAAGAGGAAGAGGCAGAAGATGTTGAAGATGTTGATGAGAAAGGACCGGTAGACTACAATGCCCTAGATTATGAAACAATGGATGGAGCTGGTTCTGACAAGGATGAAGATAGGTTTGGCAAAAATGGCACTACTGCTGCCGTTACTGAGAAGCCAGAGTCTGAAATTGTACCAACGGGAAATGGCACTGCTGAAGAAGAATTTGTAACTGACGTCATAGCGAAGGAGAAAGTCCAAGGTAAGTTATAAGGGTGTTTTACAGCTAATCTGCTGTGTACTGGGGCTGAGTTAGGAGATAACTTTGAGCGAAATACAGGGTGCATACAGAGAACTTTACACTTTAAAAATGATACAAAAACAAATGCAGCAAACTTTGAACTTTAAACCCACACCAGTGGATGGAAAAACTTTCAGAGTTTCATTTCAAATTAGTTGGGGTGATTGTTGTTGTTGTTAGATGCCACTAGTTTTTAAAATGGCTACCCCCACAACAAATGAATTGGTGTGTTCTGCAGTTAGCAAAGAATGTAGCAGCTGTACAACGTCCATTTCGCATTCAATTTTACGTGGACCTACCCAGCCAAGTATCCATTTACGCTGCAATTTTTGCCAGAATTGAGGCAGCTAATCACAGCTGTTGCTATGGACACTTTACACAATATTTGAGACAACTTGGATTATTGTCCTCGCATATACCATGCGACTAGCCGAGCACATTTCAAGTCTCTGAGAGGTGTGTAAAGTAAAGCTGTCCCACTACACGCCATGACTTCAGCACTAGATGGGGGTGAGTGGTCAGCGTCACGCTGCGGCTGTACTTTAATCCCAGGAAAGGACCCTGGTACTGATTGGATAGGAGGCTGGGTGGGCCCCAGAATTGGTCTGGATGCAGAGGCTAGAGGAAAAATCCTCTGCCTCCATCGGGGATCGAACCCCGGTCGTCCAATCCATAGCCAGTCACTATACTGACTGAGCTACGCTGGCTCATGAGTCTCTGTGAGGTGAGAATTTTTCTATCGACCGAAACAGATACAAATATTTTGAAGAAATAGTGCACTTGAAACCATTAGTAACTTATTCACAAGTCCAGGATGGTGTGAACATTTTAATGAGCTTGTTTGAAAATAGCAAAACAGTTGATAACAGTACGTTTAATGTCGTAAGTGCAATAAAAAGAAATCTTAGATATCAAAGCAAATTCTGCGAAACTAGTTTTCGTCCTGAATTATGTTTCAAATAGACAAGGTAGTAATTGGTAATTGTACATATCTTTATTTTAAAATTATGGTTGCAAGTATTTGATTGTGTTGATTTAGAAGTTTAGTATGCTATAGTTGTATTGCACATTGTTCATTGTCTGAGGTGCGTTTAATATAGCCTGAACAGTGTTTCAGGTGCGATTATTTGTCATTTGTTCATACAGTGACATTGGTTGTGATTTAACCCAGACCAATTGTTCAGACTCGTACTCTGCAAAGTATAATTAGTTGCTTTTTCTTGCACAGATATTTGACATTTAAACAGAAGTACTGTTCGCAGAGTAAGAGATGATGAGGAAATTTTTCTCTTTCTTTGGCTACTACAACACATGCCAAAACAACTGAGTAAGCATTGGCATAACAAAACGAGCGTCTGCGTCGTACAGCCAAAGCGGAAGCTGACGGCACAGAGAAACAGTAGTAGACTGCTCAAGGCATTATTATACTGAGCTTGCTTCTGTGAGCAAGTTTTAACCGTTAATCCTACTTCAAAAGCTTATCTTATTCATTTTGCGCAGTAAAACATTTAATTGAACTGTTATATCATTGTAACTTTAAATTAATCTTCCCGCTCGTTATCATGTTCTTTATCAAGTGTATGACTTTACAGAACCAGTGGCAAAACCCAAGAAATTGGAAGAACATAGTGAAGACAAGGTGAAGAGAAAGGAGGATGAGAAGAAGGTAACGTGCAACAATTATTTTCTTAACGTTCTGTGAGATTATTAGTCTTGAGTCGTGCTGAACGCACGCGGCTTTTGTATTACATATCAGTAGTAAACGTACATTAGGAGAAGCCTGGCTTTTAGGAAATCGTGGAATAGCGAAAGAAGGAAACAAATATTCCAGTCTTTAATTTGATTATTGAACTTATACATGATAATAAATAACTTTTAATTTTTAATGCATTTATACTGAATGCAAAAATGCGCTCACAACTGGTCTGCTTTAACTTGCGCGTGACAAGTGGGCGTAGATATCGTTGGGATGCGGTGATCACTGATTCAGGTTTGCAGGAACAAAAATATGAAATACATAGTTGAAGTATTTGTACCCACATATTTGTAATTTGTTCTGTTGTAAAGAGACTTTAATGGGCATTGCTGTGAGACGATTAACCTGAGTCGATTCTTTGCTTTCGCCAACCATTGCCAAACTTTGTTAATCCCTGCCTCTTTAAGTCATAAGCTGCTAAATCTTGAGTATTTATTGTATTTAGATGGAACCAAGTGAGTCTGTGCAGAAGATTCAGGTGTCTTCAGAGCATATGGATGTCGCAAGAAGCAGAAGTTCAAAATCAGAAGAATATCGGCAAAACAGTCGATCAAAGTCGGCTGACAGAAGTAAGTCGAGGAGACGACGTGACACTAGGGATAAGGACAGGCGACGACGATCCAGGTCGCGGGATAACAAAAACAAGAGGAGGTCAAGGTCAGGTGACAGGAGCTCTCAAGTGAAGAAGAGGTCTTCATCACAAGGAAGGAGGTCACGGAGGTCTGCTTCTGAGGACAAGAGTAGGAAAAGAAGCAAGGTAAATATATAACCCTGTAAGTTTTACTTTTATAATTTAACTCTTTTTCAAGACGTGTGTGTATGTGTTTGCTGATATTTTGTTAACCAAGTGAAGTTAACGTATCTGTCTCAAACTTCTATAAATTTTCACCCATCTTGTTTCAGTCTTGGTACAGAACTCTGAATTCAGGATATGCGCTCTAAAGCCCACGAGGAAACTCTAAAATAAATCTCACAATTGATGGTTAATATCATTCAGTTTCATCGATCCTTATGCTCTAGTTTGTGTATTGGACAACAGATCAGTAATCCCGCGAATCCTTCACCCTGTCAGTAATAAGGCATTAACATCTGCTGCTGCTCAAATTTATTATATTCTGTGCTGAAGACACTAGATCGAAGCAAGGCTACAGGGATTACATAATTTAAACCTATAATATGGGGAAATGTGTTTTTAACTGTCTCTGTATTACTGTTTAGGGAGGAGAAAAAGATTTGAAACATCAAAAAGAAGGAGGTGTAGAAGAAGCAAAGTCAAGTAAGAAGGTAGCTGAAAAGGGAAGAACAAAGAGTGAGAAGGGTATAGAATTATCAAAGGAATTGGAAGAGAACAGGAAGAAAGCCCATGATTTGATGAAGCAGAGAGAAAAACTGGATGATATAGAACAAAAGAAGCGTGAAAAGTTGGAGGAGCTTAAGAAGAAACAGGAAGAATGTGACAAGAAGGCTGAAGCGAGTAAGTACGAGAGCGGCAAGAAGGGCGGCACCCGACGAAGGAGGCGTAGTTCAAGCTCCAGTTCCAGTGGTAGTTCTACTTCCAGTAGCAGTAGCGAGAACTCCGAGACGAACAGGCGCCTGAAGCGTCGGAGAGGACGCTCACGCTCGCCTGTGCTGCCCAGGAAGAAGTAGTGGCATCACGGGAAGTACAGTAAGTCCCTCAGAAATTATGTCGGCAGACTCTTGTGTTTATGTCGTGTCTCAGAGTAGAAATTATGTGCTAGTCACTTTTGTGCACGCTTCGTCTTTAGCAAAGACACTCGGAGCCACTCAGAATTAGATGCTATGGAGACTTTTGTGTAAGATGAAGTTTGAAGGAAAATGGGGAGAAGCTTTTATAGGCTGTAGAGATGGAAACAGGAAATATTAGAAAGTACATTGCAGGTAAAATATATGGTATTCTGTCGATGCATGTTACTTCTTATAGCAGACAATTGTACCTTCATTTCTCTTTTATTTTAATGTAATACCATGGTAAGGTGAAAATTAATTAGTGATATAAAAAATCATTGGAAATGAGTAGGTGCCTTTCCCTTCACCACACGTGAAGACGGAGACAGGTCCAGTCCTCAAAACATGTAATTTTGTAACATCAAATTGAATTAGTTTCTTCTTGCTGGGGAACAAAGCTTCAGGGGCGTTACACCCCCTACTGTAAAACCGAGTATATTGTTCATGGAAGACCCTGCTATGGGATCAGGTCTGTAGTAGTCCATCTGTCCTCTTCACGAGTGGTGTTATGTTCTCGGACAGTACGCTTTTATAATCCACACCTGAACAAAATTCATTCTGTGTACCTTATCATAAAATACATTACCAATTTACAGGTTTTGACATGTGCTGTATATGACGTGAATATTTGAGTTTGTGTTTTCAGGGGAAGCAAATTACTTCGTGTTACAATCTTCTCTGAGCCGTGCAGCCGGAGTAGTGGTTAGGCAGTGAAGCAATGTCTGCAGAGAAAGTTCCATTAAAAATAAAAGTCGGCTTGAAAGTCTCAGATGTTCTTAACTCTTAAAGGATGAAGGGACATAAGTGTCCCATTAAATACTACTTTTTGTCGGCCCTTACGACAAAGACATTTGTGAATGTTTTATGATAATCCCTTTAGTGCGCGTTGACGATAATCTCTTGGATTAAGACCCAATACGACAATCGTAGAGCCACCTTACGTGATGTGATGAGTGCCGCGTCATAAAATCCACAGTGGGCCAATGAGGAATAATGTCTTAAAAGTCGTGGCAGGCCTTTAAAGGTTAAGAATATGCGTGCGTTTAAAAATTTGATTTAGAACTGAGCCACTTCGTGTTGATGAGTGCTCCATACAAGTACCGTGCTATGATTCAGTTTTAATGGTGTCATGAACCTTGATAGAAGTTGGTAGAAGTTAAAAGTTCTCCGACTGGTCCATTTGCTCCAAAAAAAGATAATTTGTTAGGACGTCATCTCCTGTCAGTTATTTTAAAAAAATAATGTTACTTTTTAAGTTTCTGAATAATGGGCGGCAGATGATGTCCTAACGAAGCGTCGCGGTAGTGCAAGAAGGTGCTTTGTCAACCGAGACACGATCCCATGTTTAATGAAGTACGTGTGAGTGGTGAGTAGGAAATTCATCAAGTCCCGGAGATTGTACCATGAATTTAAGTTTGTTCCATGGTTCGTTTAGGGCATCTTTTAGCGTAAGGTGTAGAATTCATGTTCTACGCTCGTAGGCTGTAAGGTCATTGGTACAGATTATATATTGATTATCGTGAATGAAGGAATGTACATCAGTTTGAAAAGCAAAAGAATCCGTGAAGGTTAGAAGCGGCAAGTTTTCTCTTTATCAGTTCGGTTTCTTTACTTATTCCCTTCATTAATTTTCAAAATGACACCTTCATTGTGACGTCTAATTTCTTTTGTTTGGAATTAAGCAGTGGCTCAGGTTTATTTGTATTCTCTAATGCAGTAAGAAGTGTGGACTAATGACAAAACTCCTGATTATCTGGGCCACTTTAGGGGAGAAGACTCGTGAATAATTTAAAAACAGGAATAATCCAAAATATTCTGCTTGGTGCATTCACAGAAACTCAGAAATGTGTTCGCACGTTTGTGCTCTGTGTTAGACAAGAGTCGTGCACGGATAATCCGCAAACCAGATAAGCTGCTCGTAGATAATTGGGAGTTTACCGTTCATTATTTGACTACAGAAAGAAAGATGTTTGAATGAAAATAAAATGGTATATATAGCAGTGATGGTTGAAGTCTACATTCTTTGCCATTTTATTTTTCTTTCAGTTGTCTGACCTTGACATCCCCTCCCTATCTGCTTAATGCATTACGCTTGCGAACAAAATTTGCAGATTGTTATACTGTATTTTGTAGCGTCATTGCCGTAACTCGGAGTTAGGTGCAGAATTGTTGATGTAAGGAGTTGTTTCATAAGCTCCATTCATTCGCCATACGCAGAGACACTTTAAAACACAACATACATTATATTTAAAGTTTTAGTGAGCTGGGAATACCCCGTATTGGAGAGGTTCCCAAACTGTGGTCCGTGAGCTTCGTTCAAATGGTGTGGGAACTGGGATTAAAAAATGAAACATACACAATTAATTTTGTCGTCTTTTTAATAGTAGATGATTATCCGAGCATCTGCGAGAAATATGTTTGATCGGTCAGTAGTACACGGTTTGCGGGGTGTTTTGCCTGCTGAAGTGGCCCGTGGCCGAAGAGTTTAAGTACCATTTCTGTGCTGCATAAATGGTAAAATCATCAATACCCACATTATTCTGCCACGGAAGAGCTACGCCAGGTTTCAAAAAACAAGAAACTGACCTATCTCTAAGTTGCACAACTTCGTCAGTAGGTCGCCCAGTATGTGTTTGTTGAAGACAGTCTGGAACTGTGATGCCGTCAGCATCAAAATTATTTTCCATTGTGGATTGCTGGCTCAGTTTCCCTTCTTTCATTCTGACTTAAGTTATAAAGAATACAAACACTCTCGATTGTGTTATCTAGAGTTTGAAGACTGAATGCATTCGACTGTTGGGTCCAGAACTATAGATTTAGAAAGAGGTTGCATCATCTGCCACGAAAAACAATGGGAAATTTGGTTTGTCTTCTGTTGGTAATGGACGGGGAGGCGGGAAATTCTTTCCTTCATTGACGACTTGTGCATTTGGAGAAGTTTCGAGGACTGGGCCATCGCTATTTCTGCCCATATCTCCCGCAGAAATCACAGTGAATATCCCGTCAGCGTATGCGCGTGCCGAAAGAACCACAGAGAGGAAACGTTTGTAGCTGATGCAGCTTGATCCTGACTTGTTTGGTTTCCTGTTTGCCATCTTTGCTTCCCACGCATGTTCCAAAGTTCCTCATATCAGAACTTTGGATCCATTTCTCCTCCTGAGGGAACTTGCGTCCAACTGCCCTGAAGTATTTGCCCAATGGTGTTGTCCAACTGCCCTGAAGTTAATACAGTACTTTTATTTTCCGTCGTTTTACTGTTTCTGCATCGATTCCGCGTATTGTTGATACTCCAAGAACAAATTAAAAAACAGTATTGTGAAAGAATTACCAGATCCCAAATATCTGTAAAAAAACTAAAACTCCAGAAGGGTTTACTGGATCTGATTACAGATATTTGCTGTGCAAGCTCATCGACTCATCCTTCAACCCCATCTTCATTTTATTCGAGTGTTTCCTCACCCTCTTCTCATGACAGCAGAGAATCTGAATCCCTCAAACCTGATTCTGCCAGTCAGTCTCCTATTGCCCAAATTACCACATACCATTAATAATCCGTGGTGTAACAGCCCTCAGAGCCAACGCCGACTAGCTGGCTGCTGGCCTCACGTTCACATGCCTAAGCAGAGGTGAACGATCATCCAACCAGACGAACCCCCAGCCATTGCTAGTTTTCCTGACCGGATTACGCTACCCATTGTAGCTCCCCAATTTCCTCACGATGCTGGGTTGGCACAGGTCGAAAGCTCATGACAATTTCTTCTCCCCCGAGACTCGAACCAGCGAGCATTCCGTATCACCAGTCCGAAGCATGATGCCTCAGACCGTGCTGCTATGGCGCGGGACCCACATACCATTATTCGGAACGAAATCCCTTTACTGCTGAATATTGTTGGCCCAAATGATTTTCCAATAAAACAGGTACGTATTATTTAGTTGTGGAAATTTGATATTCTTTTTAAGAGTACTGTTCTATATCTTTCTAAAATAAATAGGCTTACTGATAAAAGTGAAACTTTATTTGTTTCAATACCTTAGCTTAATGAACAATC